GGCTCCTTGGGGCGTGGAAAAAGGCTGTTGATTGTTTGTTGTGGTTTGTAGGCTACTTTGACCTTTTGTTGTTTCAATATGCGACTTATTTTCTCGGAAACACCCTGTACATATGGCAGCACTACAAAGCCATTGAAGTTGGTCTGGGCGGGTTGTTTAAATAACACTCTCTTACAGTTCCGTATAAAAGTCATTGGATAATTGTTATCTCGCAGAACGGCCTTTACTCGTTGTATTTCTTCTCGTCCACCTTTATTGGTAAGTGGAATGTTGTTAACACCTAACTTTAAATAGCTTATGATAACGATCTTCGTTTTTCATATCACTGATGAAGGCTTAAGCACTAGCCGAAACGTCTGTTTCAGAAATAACAACAGTCAGAGGCAAACAATTTCCATAAAAAACTCATGACATCTCCTGACTACACTTTTTCCATTTTTAAAGAGACTGTCTTCTTGTTTTACAATAATAAAATAATGGAGTGTCTGCTTAGTTTACTGGAATTGAAAACGGTTAATCCAAATTTAATTGAATACACAAACCTGATGTCCACCATTTGTGTCCATTGATGATGTAATGATCGCCATCTAATACGATTGAAGACTCGATGTTAGTGGCGTCCGAAGAGGCAACCTACGAGCACGATATATACATATGGTGACGAAAAGGGACTCATTTGCAAATCACTTAGATGAGAAAATGTGACACTATAGACTCAATAGGCAATGCTAGAGTGCTACGGAAGGCTTATCATTAAAGACCGAGTTGGTTTAGGAATACCGGATGAAGACAATTTGTAAATCAATCATTTCACGCCCAAGATCTACGGCGACCTTCTCACAGACGGCGATGAACGATCTCCTAAGAGAATTCTAAGGTTTACCATATTCTCCAGTTACATTTCCCTTGTCATATTCTGTTTTCTTGAAGAAAGGTGGTGTTGCAAGAAGTTGTATATTCATAACCTCTGAGAGTAAAAAAGCTAGGACAGAAGACGGAAGATAGCCTCGAGCTCCAGATTTACATTTTGAAGCCTCCAGTCGTATGAATGGGAGAATAATCGGAAGAATCCCCGTGCCACAATGAACTCTTCAGTACTACAAGTAGAAACCGCAAACACGTTACTTTTCAAACGCCTGTCACATTAACACTCGTCCCAAAACTATCACAGCAGTTTGCAATCGAAAAAGGATGGGATGTCTTGTCACCAAACCTTTACAGTCATTTTCATACTGTTATCTATCACTAAACACCTGACCTTAGGCTCTGTCATAGCAAAGCACGATCTTATTTTCCCCTCTAAAAGTGGACGCAGCCAGCTCTCCTGTGTGTAATGGACACAACGATATCGTCAGTCGACAGAAAATTACAATCAGAATTAGATTCAAATTTGACCTCTTTAAGATCGTTCTACCCCGATTATAATCTAGTAGATATCAGTTTTAGAAATAATTTTTATCAAAAAAACCTACACTGATTTCTAAAAAAATAATTTTCGTTAAAAAACCTTCATTGATTTCTAGAAAGACTCAAGGCGCAATTCCATTTTCATGACTTAAAAGTGATAACATACCTGCTGTTCTTCTGTGCCATATTTGATCAAAACTTCCATGTTTCCAGTATCTGGAGCTGAACAGTTGAACATCTATTGACGCGAGGAGAGATACCACGATATTTGCAAATAAAATACAACTTTTTTTCTTGAAAAATCTACCAAAAAAACTCTTAAAGGATGTAGGTCTAAAAGAGGTCCTCTCTTTAGTGTAACATATCGCTTGACAACAATTTCAGCAGGATTTTAAAACGACACCCCGCGTGAAACACCCTATAATCAAATGACGATGGCAATACATACCACGCAAACAGAAAAAAAAAAACAGGCAGTTTGAACAGAAAAGAATTTCTTTATTTATAGCATTCGCAACACAATAAAAGGTTTGAATGACCAGTCAACAGAGATAGCTACTTCGGATCAAGGTCAGTATCTGAGCAAATGTACACCTATCCCTCCCCCCCATAACCCAACATTAACCCTAATTTGTTATTAGTTGACTGTTTTTGGTTAGGGGAGGGGTAGGTGCGCTATTTCGCATCGGACTAACCTCAGGTCCGTATATTGATCTTCCCATCATCTCGCACAAGAAGGCGTATTCAACATTCGTAAGTCCAGCGCCATATTTGACTTCAGGATCCGCTTCAATTGGAATAAAAAGATTCCACAGGCCCGCAGATTTAGCTTTTTCCTGGTTATTGAAAGTGTTTTCAGGGAAAAAAAAAAAAAACCGAAAAAAGCATTAGCATCCACGTTACTTGATAATGGTTGTTCCACGAAATTTCCGAAGCAATAAACGCGTGGCAAGAAGGCGCAAAATATTATTCTCAAGAAAGCAAATATCGTGAGCTTTCGTTCGGGGCGCATAAAAGCTATTTGAGATGGTCGTTTCAACGGGCTGATCAAAGGGTAAACCGTTTTCTGCTGGCCATCTCGTGTATAATTATCAAGCAAACGAAATGGAGATCTGCATCCTGTTTATTGCAATTTCTGCTAAATATCGCTTTGTTTTTATGTGTGTTTAAGCAATGTGTGTGGCTCGTGTGTGTAATGCAGTATGTGTAGTGTACCGACCTTCTAATTTATATGCATCGAAATGCATACTGACGCTCATTGTCGTTGACCCCGTGGTTACTTAAGGTGCCACTGACCCCTTACACATGTAGTACGGAATAAAGTTTTAATATTTTTTGTATTCATATGTTATAGGCTAAATAAAGTTTGCTGTTGTCGTTGTTGTTATTGTTATTGCATGATTTTCACTTTAGGACAACGTTTTCATTAGGATGTCGAACAAACTAATGGAAATGTGGATATATGCTAAAAGAGTTGTTACATTTGATTATTCTTTTGTTTCCATCATCATGAGAAATAAATCGATTCCTTTTTTTCCTCTTAAATATATCATCCATGGCTTTAAACGCAAAGGTATGAAGTATAACTAAAAGCGCTCACTTCTACCTTAATATCTTCTACCAATGGATGAGGCGTCCAACAATCTTTAGAGGCCTGGTGCCTATTGAGCTCAGCCTCGTTCGGATACACGTGGTCAACCATGAAGTCCGTCAGCTGTTGACACATGTCTTGCACGTGAGACGGAAGTGACTTCAAGTCAGTTGGTAACGGGCCTGACATTTGTGCAATATTTAGAAAGTCAAAAAATAAATTGCAGGCAAACTGCATCATACCTCAGAATCAAACCTAACGAGCTAAGTTTTAGCTCTTTCGAAGCAATGCTGCTGAGTTGTTTGCCGTAAAAGCCTGACAAACTGATAAGTGTCGAAACCGATTGTTAACCATAAATTCTTGGGAGGAAAATTCGAGTTATTTTCCCAAAGTTTTCTAACATTCCGAGTTCATACTTGAAGAGTTACAGCCTTCTAGGGGTTATACTTTTATGGGTCAGATAATACATGTGTTAGTGGTGATAAGAAAAAAATTATTGGCAAGGATCCACCTATACACAGTACTTAATAGTGATCCAATAACGACATTTTCGCGCGAAATTACCTGGAGACCCCACATGAGCAGAAGTGGAATACATTCTCTTTGTTCCTCCCAGTCCCCCTCCACCAGTATGACCATTGGATCCAGTGCCTTGAGAGGCTAACTTCCACCCGGTCTTGGCCATTAACTCAGCCAACGCACCCACAGCTTTGGCATTTTCCGAGCTTGCCTGACCTGCAATAAAGCCAATGATGGGCTAAGTACACTCTCGTAATGACTGAAGCAATATCCAATCTACGTCATTTAGACACGAGGCAATGCTGGCCAGCGGAAGTGAAGAATACAGCGGAATAGCGGGTGATTCATTTTGATCAAATACCGTAGTTGAGCAAGTGCGTACCCACCCCTCCCCTCACCCAACAACAGTCAACTGATAACAAGTTAGTGTCAGGAGAGGGGTGGGCGAGCAGTTGCTCAGAAACTGACATTGATCCGTAATTTTGGACGAGATTCGGGTCACCAAAACAGCACCCCAAATGGTTGACAACAACACATTTTTTTTTCAATTTATAACTTATTTTATTTACTAAGAAACTTCTGTGAAAGTTGAGATTAAATACTCAAAGCTCTGACACAATGATAAATTTGGTGGAAGTTAATTAGCAATACCTTGCAGCGCTCTTTTGTACACTCCTTGTAGAATGGCAGCGACACGGAAAAACGAAAAAGCCATGTAAAAGTTCCATTTTTCGACAGATGGAATGCCTGCTCGCCGACAATACTCCTGCATGTACTCAATGTCAGTTGGAATGCCAAGAGAACTAGGGTCCCGGTCGGCAAAACCTGGTAAATAACCAAACAGATTAGGATAACAGAGAGGTTTTTCATGTCCAAACTTCTGATAACGAAAACAACCGTTAGATCTGCAGGAGAGAGGGAATTCAACATCTGAATAAGCCCACAGGGAAGAAACTCGTTCCTAGACACAATCAGATCACCTTGCGACCCAAAATCACATTTTATTCTATTTGTATAGGTAATAACATGATTTCGAGTGCAATTTGGAATAAATAAGCACGAGTCAATTTTTTCAAAGACTAACAAAATTGCATGAGCCCGCAGGGCGAGTGCAATTTGTGGTCTTTGAAAAAATTTACAAGTGCTTATTTATTCCAAATTGCACGAGAAAATCATGTGATTATCTATTAAATCTATTAATAATATACATGAAAAAATTCGAGGTAGCTTCGCATAACTACGCAGAAGAAAAGCGCGCGCATCACGTGCAAAAAACAATTTATTCAAATCCTGCAAGTGACATTGACCTTAACACTGACCTTGACATTGACCAATCATTCTGACCAATCAGAATGTCTGCTTTGTTCCTTTTTTTGCACTGAATTAACCCTCTTCTCTTCTGCACTGAATTAACTGAAAACTGCATTCATCTTAACCAATCAGAACTGAGAAATTTTTTCATGTATATTATTAGTTCACAAATGTGCTGTGGTTCAGTTCTATCCTCAGTTCAAATTTATGATCTTCGGTTTCGTATTCAGACATAATTATGCTCCCCTCACCTCCCCCCTCCTTCAAGAAAAACAACGACATGGCGTAAAATGTTTCTATCAATATCAATTTTTCAATAAACAGATATAGTTCAACCACTACTTATAAAGCGAATAACTGCATTCTAGTTTATAAAATGCAGTTACGAGTCAGCTATCACCTTTCAAAGCTGGGAAATTTGGAGGGAGGTGATGTGGCAGACAGTTGTATGCCAGGTCTGACAATGGATCACCAAGAGTGGACAGTTCCCAGTCTAGGACTGCTATTACTTCTGGCTTTTTCTCGTCGAAAATCAAATTGTCTAATCTGCAACAAAGTAACAGAATGTGAAGAGGACTAATAAAAACAAACTGTGCAGAACAACTGTTACTTTATTTTGTTTTACTTCGATTCAATGCACGTCATGTAACTTCACCCACACCACGTAACTTCACATCCTGTCACATAACTTCACACATGTCACATAATTTCACATCATGTCACGTAACTCCACACACATCACGCAACTTTACATCACGTCACGTCACATCACATTTCGAGACTTCACGTCACCTCACGCAAAAATACGTCAAAAGGATCGGAGATGGATATGCATCTCATTTCAACAGCCATAAAAGGAAAAAAAGAAAAAACCAAGAATTTTTCACGCTAACCTGAAGTCTCCATGAACCACTGTTGTTGTATCGTTTTCTGGAACATTTTCCAACAGCCAGGAAATAAGTTTGTCCATTGTGGGTATTTCATGTGTTTTGCTGGCCTCGTAATGTTTGGCCCACCTCTCTGTTTGACGTCGAATATAGTTTCCTATTTACAGAGGAAGAACCTCATATCAATATTCCTGACAAAAAGAGGAGTTTAGTTTTCCACTCTGAAGATCACAAATTGTGGGCGCAGTTTGATAGCACCATGGCAGTCCTAGAAAAAGGTACACCATTTCAACGATACTTCTTAGTTTTAGAGTCGCAAGTCCAAAACCAAAGCAATATCGACGGCTAGTCAGAGATAAGTTTAATTCTAGCAGGAGCCAATGAGAACTTAAAATACAACTTATAATACAAATTTGTCGATACTGGTTTTAGTTTTGTACCGGAATGTTAGGAAAGTCACAAAGCGATGTAAATCAAAACCAAGGCTATTCTGGATAACTTGAAAACTCAATTGGAAAATTGCTCTAACTGGATGAACGTACCTCGTTTACCGAAGTCTCCAAGTCCGACAGCATCAATGTCAACATTATGAATCTTGAAAAGAGTTTCATTCATCGCGTGGTAAATCTCCTGAAACAAATGAACTATTTGTCACAAGTTTCAGGCAAAGCCAACAGCTTAAGTCCTGATGCTAGGGGGAGCCCAAAATCTAGTCCTTAGTTATAAAAACTAAGTCGGATGCTATACAGCGGACAACCAAGCTCAAAACGCAGCTGTATCAAAGGAACCGTGGAAAAAAATTACCATTCTTCATTCTTAATATATATGAATTTGCACACATGACGCTTCCAACATTTATGATCCTGGTGGTGTGTTAGACGCTTGTCGCATCTATGTAACTACGCTCACCATCGAGTTCTCTACAGCCCAGTGGTTCTTCTTGAATATTTCAAGTTTGTTGTGTGAATTTGTTTTTCAATCTTCTCCATCTTTAGTCTTCACTTTTTCCTTATAGTTTACTCTCATCTACTTCGTACTTATTTGTTTTCTATGGCGAGCCAATATTTCAAGGTTTCCTTCTATCTCTCTAGGGACAACTATGTGGACAACTATCTCTCTAGAACAACTATGTGGCCTGGATTCTTTGATTTCTTACAAGAACAATTCAAAAGATATAAGATTTACATACTTTTCTCTCCTCCAGTGACATGCCAGGCAAAGATGGATCCTTGAATAAGCGTCCTTGAGCATATTCCATGACATAAAATGCTGTTCCAAGAATGCTATCATGTAAAGTAGAAGTAAAAGAACAACTGTTTGCAAAAATTGGTAAAATTTAACAGCAGCTCCTCTAGACTGACCGTGAGTATATTGTTGACCGGCAGGTTACTCGGAGAAACAGTCAGCAAACAGATGCCAGACAAGCGACGGGTAACGGACAGACAACCGTAAGACGAGCGACGGACGACCAAAAAGTCACTGATAACCGACAGACAATCAACAAACGAGTGCCAACCGACAGACAACCGAAGGATGATCGAGACAGCCTCCAGACGACCGTCAAACGACCGACAATCCTCGTACAAACGAAATACGACCGAGAGACAGCCGACGCACGATCATAAAAACCAACTACGACTGAAAGACAGCCGACGGACGATCGTCAACCGACAAATGAACGACCAACAGATGACCAACAAACGACCACATCATCTTCCCTTTTCACCGAAAATATGATTTTCCACAAGAGAGAAAAACTCTCTACTGACTTCTTGATACTTGACTGCTGACAAAAATGAAGCCTGAACTAGGCAAGAGAGAGTGGCTAAGTAGTACTTGAAGCACAACAGAAGAGAGAAAGTTAAAATATATCATACAGAATAGAGAGGACTGCCTACCTGCTGTCTTCGCACAAAGCTAGAGTCTTGGGTACAGGAACACCAGCAGATCCAAGTGCTTTCATCACCCTAAAGTGTGGATAACATGCTATGTTTAGGCATGTAGCATAAATTTTTTCTAGAAATTTTATTTTACGGATGAGAGACTTTTTTTGTGTTATACGGGAAAAAATTATTAATTAAAGACGAGTGGTATTTTTCTCACTGTGTTGCGTACATTTGTTTAAGCATGTTTTGATCACAGAATTCTTCTTGATTATTGGCTAGCTAAGAATTCATAGTGTAACAGCCAACAAGATAAAAAGAGTAAATGGCTGCAGGTGAAAATAAACAACAAATTACGGGCATGAACTAACTGATATTCTCTTTCCACTGCATGGGCAGAAGGAAGAAGCTTTCCAGGCTGAAAGAGGAACAAAAATAAATCAAAACAGATCACAAGTAGCTACAAAAATACAAAACTGAACACGTGGCCTGCAAATGAATCGGGTACAATAGATGCTTAAATGAATAGGGTCTGACGCTAGTAATCAGTTCCGAACATCCAAGACTTGATCAAAAGTCATTACTCACAGGCTTTTTCCTGATCACCAGCTTTTGTCCTCCATATTCTACATAATAAGTGGGATTAGACTGGCCGTGTTTAAACTGACGAATTGTTGGGGGACCTAAAATGAACAACATTATTATCATTATTTGCAAAAACTACAATAGGACTGAAAACTCTTAAAATTTAAAGTCATGCAGTTTCTATTCAAACTGTCTTCAACATGAAAAATTTAAAACAGGAGTTCAATTTCTGTAAGTCGCCCTTCACTCACAGGAGTGACAAAGGGATAAAAAAATGCACAAATGCATTTCCATATAAGGTAACTTGGAATATGAGCTGATAACCAGAGTTGAGTGAACCAATCAGAACATTAAAAATGCAATATCCCAAGTTGAAAATTTAATAATTAATAATTATTGGCCGAAGGCGAGGTAAATATCATTGAATAATACCTAAGATGAAGTAGAGGGGATTATTCGACAATATTCACCAAACCTGAGGCTAATAATTGTTTTTAATTAGTATAATTTCAGAGCTGAACAACAGAGAACTTTCTAAAATCATAACATTTTAGTAACATTTATTAACATTTTATTTTAACATTTTATATAAACTGCGAGGAGCAGTTTATATAGCATCATATAAGGAACCGCTAGACTGATCAGATTACTGTCAACTCTTTGTTCAGCTCTGAAATTATACTAATACAAAAATGTTAACTATGGAATTACCATTTCACTCAACATCACCAAATTCTCAGAGCATACTTAATAAGAAATGTAAGCAGATATTAAGGAGAATTTTCATCAAAATATTGGGAGTGAAAGGGTTAAAGTGGTTTTAATCAAATGCATCAATGCCAAAAAAGATTCTACAACACTTAAGTGAGCTTCACAACCCAGATCATTGACTAACAGCACAGACAAAAAGTCTTTTTTTTTCAATGTTTGTGATCACCTTCCTGCCGTAAGCCAAGCTCATTCTTCAGGTAACTAACCAGGGTCTCCACAGGAATCTGGTGAATTTTACGCACAGCTGTGGTCCCGGCAACAAACCCTGAATTGAAAAAAAATACAACACAAAGTGCAGTTCACCAAAATTGATTAGGGAGATTCACTTCAGATTCTTGGGCATATACTAAAACCAAGAACACCAGAACACCGGAACACCGGAAAACCACAGAACACTGGAACACCAAATTTGACAGTGTAAAAAAATAAAATATATTAGATGTAATTTGTTTACCCACGTAACAAGAAAGAGCTTAGAAGCAGGCACTAAATAATTATATAGTTTCTTAATGTTTCATATCTTATTTCTTTGTGGTATAAATAATTGTTGTTGTTGTTGAAGTTCTAGCTTTTAAAGAGATAATTAACTTTTTCCAATTACAAGACCCTATTMTTAGGCGTTTTTACTGTTTTAAGAAGCCAAAGGGGACGTTGAACAAATTAAGAAAGATTCCGCTTAAAGTTTGAGCAATAAATGCAAAAATGATTTACTAAAAATCTACTTACAGCACAGTAACTTTTTGAATACTAATTAAAACATCTCACTGTAATTCGTTTCTCTAGGTGACCCTGCGATGAAATCCGCAAGCATTCTCGAGAAATTCAATGTCAAACCTCGTAAGAATTCTTTCGTTTGGTCTTTGTTAAGCAATTACAGACTGCATGATATTCTCTGGAGAAAAAAAATAATCCACTCATATTCATGCGACTATCTGAAAATTTCTCAAGACTATGATCACATAGGGGGAGCTGCAGTGGTGAAATGGCACTTGCCTCCCACCAATGTGACCTGGGTTTGCTTCCAGGACACACCATCATTTGAAGGTAGAGTTTGTTTGTTTGTTTTTCTCTAGGTTCTCTAGGTTCTCCGGTTTTCCTCTCTCCACAAAAACCAACACTTCTAAATTTAAATTTGATGTCATACACGTACACTTTATAACAAGCTCTAAGCTCTTTCCTTATACGTGGGAAAACAAATAACATTTCCATTTTATTTTTTACATGATCTGTAATGGGAAAACAAAACAACACCGTCAAATTAGGTGTTCAGGGGTGTTTCTGCTGTTCCAATGTTCCGTGACGTTCCGGTGTTCCTTGTTTTAGTACATGCCAGATTCTTGTGTCTTTTCATAAATCTGGCTATTTACCTCTGAGTGGAAAACTAAGAATGCTCTCCAGTTCATGCAAAGCACTTTTTACGTCATCAACCTTACAAAAAAGATAGAAAAAGTTTGATAAGATTATGAAAAATATTTTGCTGGCTTGTAGTTGTACTGTGAAAGGCTATTATTCAGTTAGAAACCCAAAAATATGTGCTCATAAAAAAAAAAAAAATCCAAATTCCTTTATTAAGTCATTGATAGCCATCCAAAATCAAATACACATCATGCATTCAGTAATTTTGAAAGTTTGCCATTTTTCATCAGTTTCATTCTGATCCTCTTTTAAATTCCAATGTACTTATTACCAATTTTACTTTTTACCTTTATTGTCTGAAATCCCATTTTCTGTGCTGGTTTCAAATTTTTGCCAAAATCATCTAAAAATACCACCTCCTCTGGATTCATCTTTAACCTTTCCAACAGCTTATGGTAAAATTTTTCCTCTGGTTTCCTTGAACCCTCCAATGCTGACTCTAAAACCTTAAATTTAAGAATTATCCAAATGTTAAAACATGCAAGATACAACAGAACCACTCCAGTTCCTCTTCATCAGTTCCTAGATAATCTGACTAATATCCGCCTTTCTTAAAAATTAGGGAGTTCCTCTGAAACCAGTGAGCTTCTTACCACATCAAAATGTCTTCCATCTACTGGACAAAATGACTTCCTATCATCCATCAACCAATTGTTTGTAATCAAAGCAGTTTTTAGGCCCTCTGCTCTTATGCACTGAATTGCTGTTATTACTTCAGGATAGGGCTCTACCATGGCTGTTTGAATGCTACCAATTAGATCTTTCACATTCACACTTTTGCCAGTCACTGACTGCAGGTATTCTCTAAACTTATCAGAAAATTCTTCGGGCAAGAGAGCTCCACATTCAAACTGTGCCCAGACACCTAAAATAAGACAATTAATCAGTACGGTCAGAGTAACCAAGGTTGATACTTTTTAAATCCAACATAGTTCTTGTTAATTTTACTGAACCTTTCAGTGACAAGTAAACAGAAGAGTTAAAGTTGCATAATAAAAAATGGCTTTCATGCCTTTATCAATCATGAAATGAATCTCTTCTGAATAAGGGCAATATTTTGAAGGATTGAAAAGGTACTGTTCCTGCATTGTGATCAGAGTGCTCTGCAATGTTCTCTATAATCATGAATGGCATAATAAATCATAATCAAAAGTTTTATTTTGATCAAAGCTAATGGCATTGAAAACCACTTTTTGTCAACTATTAGCAAGGGAGATGAGCAAGCAACAACACAAACAGATAACTGACCAAATGTCCAACAAGCCATCTAGCTAACTAATGAATTTGGTTGAATTCTGCTACCTGCAGGCTGATGGAGTAATGCATCAATCAATTTGAAGCTATGAAATCTCCTCCAGACTACTCCTGGGCATTTTTTTTTTGGGGGGGGGTAGGGGATGTCAAAGCTTTGAGTTGATTAGTGCATAATTACCAGCTGGTTAACTAATAAAAACCCATGGATTGACTGATACACAGACTGGCCCACCTACTGGCTGATTCAATATTTGAATCAACTGTATAACTGAACATTGACTAAATACTTTATTGATAAGTCAGCAATGGACAAGGAACTTGTATATTCTACCATTCAGTGAGAACTTCCTGATGCATAACAGTATTCATTTTACCTCTTTCATCACCAGCATTGATAGCTGCAGCAATAGAACCTCTTTGAAGACCATGGCTATCCTCAAACTGATGAAACAGGGGGACTGGGGAGGGGAGCACCACCCCTCCCATGTCAAATGCAACAGCTTTTGGCTTGGTCGATTGATCGTTGGCATAATGCCGTGGGTGAAACACACGGAAACAGCGAAGATAAAGACACCTCAGATTTCTCAGCGCAGGAATCATTGTGTGATCTTCTTGCTACCAACACATCACCACTGTGGACCTTGATTCTAACTTATCATGGCAATTTCTATCAAGCAAAGGTTGTACACATCCAATTTAAGAATTTTAACTCTATGGACAGAAGTGTTCTTCTCACATTTTAAAGGAAGTTTCTTAAGTGTTCCTGGATATAAACCTTAATTATCGCAGAATTTCCAGAGAAGGTGCTAAAAAGTTAGGGGTAAGCAAATCCAAGGATCTGTGCTATTTTTCCTACTAAATCGACCTAACAGGTCATGAGTTACTGAAGTCCTCTTTGAATAACCTGGAATAAGGTGGAGTAACATTTTCAGATCTCAACGAACCAATATTTACCTTCACTGCGTTTGCATCCCTCTTTACTCGAGTCTGGCCGCCATTATGAAACCAGCGATAACCTGGTACTAGAAACTAGACCCAGTTTCTCACCGTGTTTAGGTTTCCAGAGGTCAGCTCAGTCAAACGGCAAACGGAAATCATAGGACCTCCGTGAAGGTGAAACTGCAGGCCTGTTTAGCAGCAAAATGGCAGCCTTACGTGGATCACCAAGACCGCTGATGGGAAGATATACCTTGCTTCCTTCTGCGTCTTCGTGGGAAAGTGTTTCAGAAGAGGCTGAGGGAGGTTTAGGAATGACAGAAGGTATGCTTTGTTTATTGTCGTAGATGATGTCATGTTTCTTGTAAGCGGAAGGCGCACGCGAATTCTCCATAACCGTATTATAGACCATTATAGCTAACAGTTTTAGAATGAGACAACAAACCTGCAGTAATATTAAAAATTTAACTTAGGTAAGGAATTAGGTCTTTTTTCAGGTCAAATAAATACGAGTTGTTGATCACTTCAAGTGGAGACTGTTTTCAGCTTCCATTTATTTCATTTCGTTAAAGTTTATACTGTAGCTAACAAATTCGGTTTTATTATTGATATATTTTTCAGTTTCCAAAAGAGTCGTCTGCTTCTAACATTGAACCATCTATATTCGTGCTTTTCATTAATTTAGATAAAACATTGAAATAGATCTTAAATTGCTCGAAAATCATGTGGCACTTTCACTATCACTTGAGGCAGATTTAAAAGTAGGAATTGGAAATAAAGTTATTGACCCGTAACATTATAATAGCTATTTCAGCTCCCAGTAGTTATTATCACTCAAAACACTGAGTGAGTTCTTTTAAATGATGTTTGCAATCATTCCCACTAATCGCTTCCTATTAGTGTACATGCCTTTTACATGTAAATCAATGCAAGGTGGTGCTTCTTCTTAATCAAACTCGGTCCTCATAGATTTACGGTGTAAGGAAGAAAATTCAACACTGTACAATCTTGCGACTTTGTCAGCTTAGTTCAAGAATATTTTCTCAGGATGCCTGGAAATCCCTAATTTTTATTTTATCAATCACTTCCTCTTCTGATTCTTTCCATTAAAGCACCCAATTATACTTCCATTCCTTCGGTTGGTTAGTCACTTAAATTAGTTCAATCAGTCAATCAGTTGTCTGAGTAGTATCAAGTAAAAGATTATGAACCAATTGAGCCAAGTTGCCTACAAGGGCCTGAACTTATTCTGGTTTCTAAGATGCTAAGGAGTATTCTACTTACCCCCCCCTCCCCCCTCATCCTATCCCGACATTTTATCAGCTCCCTTAACAGTTGACCAGTACTCGTTAATATTCCTGGGCGGAAAGAAGTACTATGAGACAGGGCTCGACACTAACAGTAACCCACTAGCCACAGACTAGTAGAAATTCAGTTTTGCTGAGTGGTTTTCAATTTCCACTAGCCAGTTTGGCTAGTAAACAGACTGAAATTGTCGTAACATCTAAAAACATGTAAGATGTCACTAGCCACTTGGCTAGTATGTTGAAATGTTAGTGTCAAGCCCTGGTGAGAGCAGTGTCTTGCTGAAGAACACAACACTATAACTAACCAGTTCTTCAACCTGGACCATGTGATCCAAATTAAAGTCCACCCTGATGACCATTGGGTTACTGCATCTTCCATTAGTCGATTGACTAATTTGAGGAGTATTTATTATTGAGGACATTAATCAGTCAATAAGTCTAATTCTATTAATTAATCAACTATTTAATCAAATAAATGAAGGCTGATAGTTTCGAAAGAGACTGTTTGGGGCTGCGTCGGTGGGAGTAACGATATAATT